GCTCGGGTAATTGGTGAGGAGTCAAGCAAGGAGACAACAACTCTGTGGTTGCTATTCCTAGTCCTAAAACTTTGTGAGAAATAGGATCACCTGCAATTATTATTCAGCAACAATGGAATGACATCTCTACATCTTTAACAACCCTGGATCATGCATGGTCAAGATGCCTGAAGCTAAAGCAAGACAACATTCAACGTTATGAGCCACGTCCGAGACCTAAGTTATGTTTTTATTTAAAATTCATTTCCATCATTAAAGCAAATGAAGAGATTACAGAGACCACTCCTGCACATATCAGTGCCAGCTGTCAAAGTATAATATAGTAGACTAGTAGGTTCTCTCTGTCTGTTTATTTTAACACATTAACACTTTGAGGAGGAGCATCAGCTCAGCGACAGTCTAATGAGCATCTTTAAAGTGCCACTTCCTCTATGACTAAATTCGTACTGTCATCCTGACACTACAAACACCCCAACTGCTGCTTCAGCCCACAGATGGAGTGTGCAGGGAAGTGGACACCCATGCCTCTTAATGCCACACCGCAGTGGGGACCAACTAGGGCGTAGCGGGAAATGGCCCGTATCAGACAGCTAAACATCCTCAAATGCTCTCCTGATACTCCGCACAGAGCCATCATTAGGCCTTTCTCTCTCATTTCAATCCCGGCTTTCTTTGCTTCTCTCCATCAGTGTCCGGTCACTCTTGTCCCCTCCTGCTCTTTTCCTCATAGTTAATACCTTATGTCGCCTTTGTGTTCCCTTTATGTTCTCTCCCTTCCTGGCTATCTCTTTCTCTCTGTGTCAAAGTCATTGAGGTGTAAATTCACATTAGTGTGAGCATTCCTCCCAGACAGGAGCTACCAATGACTGGTTATATAGGTCAGAGTAAACTGTGTGCCAGTACATGAGTGAGTGTGTGTGTGTGTGTGTGTGTGTGTGTGGCAACTGACGCAGGAACACGACTGCGTTCTGTCACATGTGCAACCAGGGGACCCAAGGCTACACAGGAATGTACTCCCTCATAGTTATGAGCATGTGGGCAGGTGTGTGTGAAAAGGAGAAGTGTGAAAATCTTTCTCATCTCGCAGCTATCTCACACGTACTGAGATACTAACACGCACCAACCCACAAACACAGTTATATTGCAGAAGTGACCTCAATATTGCAGCTCATATAAAAACAAACATACTGCAGAATATATTATGTGACAGTTTGAGTCATTCAGGGAGACAGCTGCTCCCTACCTCTGATGACAATGTCCATGGTTCTCAACCTTTTGCCTATGGCTAGATTTGAATTATCAAAAGCTCATTTTCTTCCGTAATCACTAACCCTTTAAGGATACTTTGCTGATTTTCAACGAGCTTTGTGTCGCAACAATGTGGGTAGTATGTGTGAATGAACTTTGGTAAACTCCCCTCTGTCTTGCCAGCACACGTATCTCCTTGTTCATCTCCCAGCTCAAATCTGCCAGATGATGAGACATGCCTCGCTGGCTTTTGGGCTGTTGCTCAAACTACAGATTGTACTTCCTCATTTTCGTATGCCCACCACCACTATGGAAGCTGATCACGAAAGAGAGCTTCTCCTCTCTTTCTCTCAGACTCAGAATAAACTGTAAAACTAGGCAGTACTAATCAAATATATACACTAAGATTCTGTTACCTTGTCGCCTATTTCTTGCCAAAAAAGGTATTTCAGTTAGGAATACTCTAGTCAAAGAAAACTTTATTTTGATTTGCAGTATCATATTTGGCAGCATGGCTCTGTTCTGGGGCCTCTCTGCCTTTCCTCAGGCCTACGTAGAAAGTATCTTCCATGTGCTTATGTGGAAAGCCCTAAGGCCTGAGGCAGAGAGAGGAAACCCCCCTTCCCTTCCATGCGCCTACATGGAAAGACAGCAGCTGCAACCCAATTTTAAAAGTATCTGCATGTTTCTACTCTAAGGACAGCCAAGATTTATAAAAAGACCATCTTTCCAGCTCTGAAATACTTCTTTAACCTACATAATGAAGGCCAAAATTTTCCAGTCAGAAAGGAAGATGAGCTTTAATTAAACACCTACAACTTGTCAGAGTGACTTTTGGTAACATGTATTCAAAGTTTAGAAATGGACCAAAGGCCTCTGACAAAACTCTGCAAACATAGCTGCTCATGATTGATGTGAGATTTCTCCTGGTCCTTCTGTCACACACAATTTGAGGTGCACTTCCCCTCCATTATCTCTGAGAGTATCATCACTGTGAACCAATTTTTTAAGGTCAGTCTCCACTTTTGAGTGTGTGTTCAAGTGTGTGTCTGATGTGTGTATTGAAAGAATGTACAGATATCATATCTGTATCACATGCATGTGACTGTGTGACATCACGTGTGCATGACTTAGCATGCAGTGTGTGATCTGAAAGGTGTGCATTAGCTCACAGCGCTATGGAAACAGTAGCCGCTCCCACCCCCTGCCGTGTCATCGCTGGCTGGCGCATTAGTGTCAGTCTGACTCTGAATGGTCACAGCGTGTTCACCCTGCGTCCGTTGGGCGGAATTAACCTCCCAGTCTATCAGAGTGGGTTTAAGAGGCAATCAATAACCCGGCCCACAATTAAATACAAGCCAACTAACTGATAATGGCTACAGAGTGGGAAAAAATAATCAGTACATTAAGTATAAACTGCCGCAAGCTGTTTATATGTTGGGTGAAATTAAGAGAGACTGATAAATAGATTAGCAGCATTGAATTATGGATACTTAGCCTCGTTTCCAGATTGCATGACTCACAGGCAACACTTCTGTTTGGCATCTTATTGTGGATGGTACTTTCCCTCTTTGACATGGTTTACTTTTGCGATTACTTGCTCCAACAGATTGATCAGTATTAAACTAATCATAACAATAAAGACATTTAAAAAGGCATATTAAAAGATTATTGTGTGTCTTTAAATTTATCAGTGTCTTTACATTTCTAAAGAACAACAAAAGTGAAACATTTCATTTGCTGTCAGTACAATCATAACATTTTACAAAGTGTCACTATTTGTTGTCAGCGTTTCAAATGTGATGAGGTCATCAATAGGGATCCCATTGAATTAACCCTGCCTATGCTCTAACAGTTGACATACCCAGCAGAACCTCGGGCATCTTTCCCCTTTCCTGTTCTACTTTGATATGCTATGCGCTATGCTCGTCTACATTAAAAAGAAAAACAAATTTTGAATATGGTTAAAAGCTGAGTCTGTGGAACCTGTAGAGGTAACACTTGATACCCTGACCGTGTGAAAGGCTTTAGGTTTATTCCATTCCTACAACCGAAAAACAAATGTCGTCAGATTTGACTATGCAATAGACCTCCCATCAGCTGAACATCAACACCACCACCAAGGACACCTATGTCTGTTCAGAGGTAACATTACTATGTAAGTCACATAACATTGACGCCGCAGTCTTCTTGGACACATTACATTGTAAATAGTCGCATTTTAAGTTAGCTAATGTTTGCAAAACACAAGCTAACTAGTTAGCTAATGTGTATCTTAATTAAGGGGAGTTAGCCTAATAGCAGATTAACAGCATCATCCAGGATGGCTTCATCCTTCTTTCTGTTGAGATTTGGAAAAGGAAAAATATAATTATTCAATAATAACTCAATGATATATTGAATTATTGTTAGCCAGAAAAGATCAAGGCCAATGTTCCTTTGTTTTTATAATGTTTGTAAGTCTATGTGGCGATCCGAAGTAACTTTTGGTGGTATTAATTTAGATCATTGTGTATATATCCTTTCATCACATATTGCACTCTTTGCTATTGACTTCTTGAAGCTATATTGCCCGTAGCCCTGAATCTATCTCACATAACCTTTGGCAACTGTTTCTTTTTGTCAAGCTTTTCCAACTTAGCAACAGTAACCAAGAAGGTCAGGACTTTGGATCAATCAATTGTGTCTTAAGCATAGGGTACTGCTAAACGTCCAAATGCTAGCACTAAAATGCTCGTCTTTTTTACCGATATTTTCATCTAATATTTCCTAATTGAAATCATAGTTTTTAAAACTTTACAATGGATTTTATTGAGGCAAAATTCTTTGGTCAGGTTTTGCAGAGCGATATGTTTATACCCAGCAAAGTAACTCAATCGATCAATTTAACAATGCTACTGAGACATGTATTATATTGGAAATTATGTGGCAATATCTCCTACAAAACTCAGCCCGTAGTCATCAGTGGACTTGTCAAACATCCAGACAGTCAACTTGGACTCATCCTGTCTGCACCTCTTGCCAAGGGTGAGGTTTCGGTCGGTTACATTCACTGGGAGTGGATCCAGTCGAATCAATACACAGTTGCCACATCAGTTGATGAGCAGTCAGAGACTCGTCAGAAACAATTGGCACTCAGATGGTATGGATAAATGGGTAAATAGCGATAGAGCTGCATGTGAAGGTGCTGGACAGATATAATTTAATCTTCCTTGGAACCTTTTCAACTTTTGTGATACAAGGACACATTCAACAAGGAAAATGCACACTGGTAAGGATTTCTGTTGCTGTGAGATGATTTTTAAAAACAGAATGTTAAGAACTTCAAACTACTTTCCATGTATTTCTATATGGATGTTGCCAGTAAACAAGGACAAAACGAAGCAGGTATACATCTTAGCAAAATGACCGCTATCATGACCACAAATTGCTTAACTGTCAAGTGGATTTGTCTTGACCTCAAAGGATAAAACTTGCTCTGGAGAAAACCCCACTGGGACAAACACAGAGACCCTGGCTGCTATGTTTGGGTTCAGTCTGGACTTGCCAGCGGACACAGTGTGTCTGTTTGACTGGGATGCTTACGTCACGAGGGAGTGCTTGCGTGCATGTGTGTGTGTGTATCCGTCCTGAGGCAGTGACCTTAATCTGGAGCGCAAGGGTGACACAGGCTCAGACCAGACAGTGACAGAGATGACCTCATGCATCAGAACATGCACGCGCATCACATCCCCTCCATGCTTCAGCCTTACCTCCGGGGCTATGTAGTCTGGGGTGCCGCAGAAGGTGCGCGTGGTCACTCCTTCTATCATGTTCTCTTTACACATGCCGAAGTCAGCAATCTTAATGTGTCCCTCACAGTCCAGCATCACGTTGTCCAACTTCAGATCCCTGTAGAAGCACAAGAGACGTTCAAAACATCCTTGAAGATGATGACTTCTCAGCAGGTGGCTTTCACTGCCTATCCTAAGTACATGTAATTCTTATACTATTTATTGCAAACAAACCTCAGTTTCTGTTGCTGTGTGTTTTCAAGAAAGCCCTAATCAAACACTTTAAATGCAATAGCTCAATATATAATGACTCTTCACTGCATGGTATCCGTTGCAGAAATACAGACACTTTTATGTAACAAAATTTCTATTATTGCTTTAAATACAGCCACTGAATTTGAAGAACATCATGCACTGTGTTTATGCCATGTAAACGGTATCAATACACACCTGTAGATGACTCCTTTAAGGTGCAGGAAGAAGAGACCAACAGCGATCTCTGCTGCATAGAACCTGCAATAACAACCACACATTTGCAGACTTAAAACACAAGCAAACTTGCACTAAACTTAAAGCTTTACTGTAATCCCAAAATAATTCCATTTAATGTATCATACATAAGATGATCATATCATATTGTTGCAGTATTAATGCAGCCTGTATGTAAAAACATTATACAAATAAAATGTCAGTTATTAGCTTGGTAGCACTATACAAAGTGGTTTTAGAAAACTAAAATAATCATGACGTGTATTTGACAGTAGAAATGATTCCCTATTCAGTGGGATTACACCAGTTGCAAGTAAATTGCTGTGTCTTACACTGCCTGAGGTTCCTTGAACTTGCCCACTTGTTGAATATGATACATGAGGTCTCCCCCGTTCACATACTCCATGACAAAGTACAGACGGTCCTGTGTTCACAGAGACAGAGGGAATAGGAGAGAGGGTGTAGGGATAGATGGGGCATGGGGAGGAGGGAGACAGAATAACATGCGACATCATTATTTTTCACACAAAAATAGCAAAGTTCCACAAAAGCTGTGAAATTATGCAACATTTCTACACTTCAATTCACTGACAGCTCTCCTAACAGAAAGATACAGCTCAGCGTTGCAGCCTTCCCTAACCTCGCTGTCTGAGTCTCTCCATCGTTCCTGCCACACTTGCCATGACAAGGTGACCTAAAAAGCCCACAACAAAGCGCTTCATGGGAAAAAAGAAAACACTCAACACAGACATCTGTCAGGAGATATTCTCTTTGTCTGATAGTTCTGGTCCCTTACTGCCCATGACAAGTTTGGCCTGACCCCAGTTCAACGGAGTTTGACAGTCCCTCACTAGCAACACACAAACCAACCACCTCACATAGCAACAGACACACACTGCACTGCCATCAAAGCTGGCCTTCCTTTAGGTTTGACAGATCTGACCCTCAACTTGTGGAAGCTCTGACCCTCACAGCACTACGATGACGATCCCTTGAGCAAAATGCACACTGCACCTTCTCTAGATCTCTGTGCCTCTCACTTTCAACTTTTCTGTAGTCTTTTGTCTCCTGTTTTCTCTCAGTAATGGGCCACAAAAGATGTTTCAGCTGGATATCACTTTAATGGATGCTGACAACATGCTGTCTTAGTAAAACAGATGCAGAACAAAACTTGTGTTTTTCAGCTAATTATGCTAAAAGGTGTACAAGACCTTCTGACTGGGGATACTAAAATGTTCTCTCTTTGTTGTGTTTAATAATGAAGCTAAACTAAAATCATGATTGCAACATTTGACGCCCACATGCCATGGTATAATTAGGGATACATGATTTTGGTGTTCCATGCGCTTGGTCTCATCTCTTGTTATCTTTGGGTCCTTATTTCTTAAAACGTATCTTTACTCACAGTATCTTAATTAAAGAAACCCTGAGAGGCAAGTGAGGAAAAAAAAAATCTGGTGATCCATTTTTTTTTAATATTTCCAATCTGATTTTTTTTTTTTTTTAATCTTCTGTGTTATGAGGTGAAAAAAATGTTTTCTAAGGGTAATTAGGGTAAGTAAGTTCTTTTTTTTAAATCTGTGAAACAGGTGAGTTAAAAAAGTTTCAGCTGGTTAATTTTTCTGTTGTGGTCAAAATCATTTTTTCAAGTGTTTGTTGTTGTAAGACTCATTTTGGCAATGTTCTAAACACAGGCTCCCAGGGAGTGTGGCAGGCTTTGAAGCTAATGTTCGTAATGGCAAGACAGTGGTACTACAATTTCCAAGGCCCGTCACGTGTCCTGCAACCCAGAAAGACTTTTCCCATTGACTTATATGGCAAAAGCAACATCGGTGAATCAGTGGATACATTTTTTGAGCTTTACAACGCCAGCAAAATAACTCATTTCACTATCAGGATTTGATCCATATCGTCCGGCAACATTTCAAAAGAGCCGCAAGATTACGTCATTTTATCCACATTGAAGTTAGCAGAGAGCTAAACTGGAATGTAGCCATTTGGCCGGCGGAAGTAAGACACTTAATTGCACTCTGTCGTGCTTGGCTGCCTGGAGTCTCTAGTGCCCCGCTCTATGGGCTGCACAGCGTGTAAGTATTGCCAATCATCCCTGGATCATCCGAGTAATTTTATCCATGGCAACTCAAGGCAATTGAATCGAACGCAACTGGACTTTTTGTCTTAGAAGACATTTCACCTCTTATCCAAGAGGCTTCATCAGTTCATGCTTGTCTGACTAGGCTGGAACTAGTCAGACTAATTCTGGACAAAAATAAGTCCAGTTGCGATTCAACTGCCTTGAGATAACTATGACCTGGATAAATGAGAATATCCACAGGCATCTTTATACATGGCAGTTGAATAATTTTGGCTTCATGTGCCACTAAGCAATTCTATTAGAAATGAACGGGGTCCCGTGTTCAAGGTTGTATCCAGGTCTCTGAATACATCCGTGTCTTTTCACTTGCCAGCAAGCAGGCTAACAACTAACAGCAAATTAGCTAATGCTAACAGCAGATTAGCACCGATTAAAATATATGTCGAGAGAGACAGACACAACTGTAATGTTACATTACTTGTTAAAACACAATAAACTGTATGTGCCTTGTGTTGAGAGTGTGTCTAGAAATTAAATCTCACCTATAAGAATATGAATGATTTTGGTCATATTTATAACATGGGGTAGTGGTGCACTTCAACCTCTTGTGGCCAAAATGAGTACTACAACAACAAACATTTAAAAATCACAAGTCACAAGCACGTAAGAGAAGAAAAAAAGATCTATCTCAGAAAAAAACATTGCTTGCAAGGATTTTTCTTTTAATCCTAAAAAAGTCTGCAGAGAAAATGGAAATACCAGAAAGGCTGTGAGAATGTGAGAGTAAGTTTGGTGAGAGTATGAACTGTGCACTGTATGTGTGTATGTGTGCATGCATGTGCACACACATACACACGCACATCTGTGTATTCATGAATATGCTATGAGTGATGCCAAGCTGAGCCTCTTCCTGTTTCCTGTGTCTGCCTGCTGGTGCTACAGCTCTAATCAGCTGCTATAGTTCAGCTCGGCCTTTCTGAGAAATCTAACTGCTAACAGACGTTCGTTTTCCATCCAGCGCAAACCAACAGCTGGGTAGATTTACCGAGAGGCATTCTGATTAGGTGAAACTTTGATTTCTTTCGTATTGAGACTGAAATGTATGTGAGCAGTGGGGCATGGAAAATTAATATGGCTGCCATTTGTACTTGTTTATTAGAAAAAGAAATCAATACCTCAAAAATATGGAGGTCCCAACTGAGAGCGCCAAAGTGACACTTTCTTCAGTTACACTGCTTGAGCTTTGCTCCACCAACTTTGATCATTTCTTTGATACACTGTCTCTCCCAAGTCCCCCAGCTTCATGGAAGTGCAATACTGACTGCATAGACTTATTTTTTAGCAGTGCAGAATAACTAACTGTTGACATTTGAAAGGGTTGTTACATGTCAAAATGCCAATTTGACATTACATGTGTCATGTAGAAACACCACCTACCTGCAGACCATCACACTACCCCAGTTTGAATGTACTGCCACGACTGCACATTACAGCAGCTGTTGCTACCACTGCTAGTATTGTTACACCTTAAGTGATTCTCCAAGACAGTTAAAGGGACAGCTCACCCCAATGTTAAAAAAAAACATTTTCCATCTTACCTAAGGTGCTATTTATCAGTCTAGATTGTTTTGGTGTGAGTTGCTGAGTGTTGGAGATACCAGCCGTAGAGATGTCTGCCTTCTCTCGAACATAAAGGAACTAAATAGCGATCAGGTTGTGGTACTTAACACCGCAAAAATATACATTTGAATCTACTCATGGATGAGAAGCTCTTGCTCATGACGGCGTGATATGCAATGTAATGGCATCCTACTTGACTTAGCTGTAACGTTGACTACCTCAGTGGTGCTAGGCAAGCTAGAAGCAGATGCATGTTTCCCTTTGCACAGTGATATGGCTGGTGGGCGAAGAAAGAAAATAGTTCCTACATGAAACTGCTCCCAACAAGGTCTGTGGATTATTTTGAGTAACCGCGTCATCATTGTTTGAAAGAGATACTGCTGTTGAGTTTTACAAATGTATCTTTTTGTGTTTTGAACACCACAAGCTGAGTACCATCTGGTTCCATTATAAAGGAGAGAAGGCAGACATCGGTATGGCTGATATCTCCAACACTCTGCAGCTCACACCAAAACAATCTAGACTGATAAATAGCACTACAGGTAAGAGGTAAAATATTTTTATTTTTATTTCATGTTGAACTGTCCCTTTAAGCTCCAATATGAAATGAGGAAGAGGATTTAGCAAGTTCCATTTACATTGCTGAGAGCGTGTTAAAGCAGAGCAGCAAGAGATATTTCTCTATGATTTAATTAAGTACATGGAAAAAAGTTCTGTATGCGTGAGTGTATGTGTGTGCATGACACTCAGTTAGGCTTGGTTCTTTAAATCGGGCGTAGATCTAAAGCTTAATGAGGCAGGAGTAGGAGGGGAAAACACTGCAAATTACGATGCAAAGCACAATATATGTCATAACTTTATCGGTGTGCACACGTCTGCATTTATTTCTGTTCTTATATAAGCAAGCACAATGCACTTCTATGAATAAGTGCAACTGTGTGTGGGTGTGTGTGAGCAGGAAATACAGTGCATCTGAGTGCATGTCTCTTTGCTCGTACAGTATGTGCTCTCAGGTTGTGTGGTCTGGTTTTGGCATGACTCAAAGTGAACACATGCACATACACACACATGCTTTTGTATACACACGCATAAACCTCAGTCTTCTAATTGGGGTTTGTTTGTTTCCCCTTCTCTTTATTTATTTTTTTTTTTAAATCATACTTGTCATGCATTACCTCTAAAGCTCTCCACACCACTTTATGACTAAGCTGTTTAGCTAAAAGCCCCTTCATGAATTAATCTGACCTGACCTGACCTGGAGTGACTTGTCCTGACGGGTGTCCAGGAGCATTTTTACCTACCACAGTCTGGAAGCACGAATGGAGGTATGTGAGGAAGGGCGGCTTGTCCTGTTGGGCCAGGACTCTCTTCTCCACCATGGTACATTCCACATCATCGTCCTGAATCACCACGTCCTTCTTCAGGATCTTTATTGCGTACAGCTCTTCAGTACCCTTCATCTCTGCCAACATGACCTTCAGACAGACAGGGAGAGAGAAGTCTATGTATATCCTATTCTTTTTTTTGTTTCTTTAGATCTCATGGACTCTGTTAGTAGTAACACCAAGGGCTCCACTTTTTTAAAATCTGAGCTGCCTCACCTTGCCAAAGCTCCCTTTCCCCAGCACAGCCAGGAAGCTGAAGTCGCTGAGTTTGACCTGGTCCAGGCTGTTTTGAATCTGCTGGCTGGAGTGGCTGTCGTCTGTCTCGGTGATCACCTTCTTACCTGGGCCTAGCTTGGCTTTCTGCACTCAGGGAACAAAAGGTGGCATGTAAGAGATACACATTTTCAAAATGCGCTTTGAGCAGCACACACAACATAAAGCTTCATTTTTTTTTGGCTCAGACAAGATGACTACTTCCTGAATTCCTAAAATGTAAACCTTGATTTAAAAATGTGCATAAAATGAATTTAAAAAATACTGAAACAACAGTAAACTCAATAAACGAAGCTTCTCTGTGGTGGTTTCCTCTCGTGACACCACAGACCAACACATCCAATTCCCCTTTGTTTGATTTAATATTTTTCCCACTACAGCTATAATCATACACATAAATATTTCATATGCTGGAATTTCATTCGTGAAACAAATATCCTCTAGATGTTCTCACATACTCACACTGCCCATTTGCTCGCTCACAGGCCCAGTACACAGGTTGATAAGCAGAATTCAAAACTGATGGAGTGAAATGAGACTGCAGTGTTGTTGTGGAGCAGATACACACAAAAATGGCTCCACGCAAACAGAAACAATGTCATAACTTGTAGTAAATAAGAGGATATAGTGACACTTCTTTCTTTCATCTCGTCACTTTATTGACAAATTAATAGCTGACGTTGTGATATCTTCAAATATATCAACAAGTAATTCTTATTTCAATGAATTAAAAGCTCAGTTCTGGCTCCTCTTGTTGGCTTAAAGGAGGAGAGCTGCCATCTATATTAAAGGCTTGAAGAGAAAAATAAAATGTGTGAACTGAAACAATCTACGAGACATGCTTAAAACCTCTTGCAATTAATCCATTATGCAAATATGACTGTGTTATTTATAAACATCATAATCCAGGGGTGAAATCACAGAACTAGATCACTAATATTATAAATGATAAACCTCAATGTATATATGTTCAGTGGACATTTTTATCTTGTGACTATTGTAAATCACATAAAAGGGACAGTCCTCCTAAAATCAAAAATACATATTTTTCTCCTAACTTTAGTGCTGTTTATCAGTCTAGATTATTTTTGTGAGTCTTGCAGAGTGTTGGAGATATCAGCCATAGAGATGTCTGCCTTCTCTCGAGTATAATGAAACTAGATGGCACTCAGCTTGTGGTGCTCAAGCATCAAAAGAATACATCTGAATCTACTCATGGACGAGATGTTTGTGCTCATGACGGTGTGATATGTAATGTTAAACATTAATGGCTAGATCTATCAATCTAGATTAATAAAGAGCAAAACAGGTAAGAGGAAAAACATGTATTTTGATTTGGGGTTGAACTGACTCTTTAACATATTTTCAAAATGCTCCTGCATTGGTAGAATCAGGCTCAACATTATTTTAAGCACTATGTCACTGAAATCACCTATTATATCTGATTTGTGTTAAAGGCAAAGTCTAAAAACAACTTTAAACTGCACTGATGATTTTTTTCACTCTAGGACAAAGTTGCACAGCTGCCAGAACAATGAAGTGCAAAATACAATACTGGTTTCACTATGTGCGTGCATGTCTGGTCTAAGTGTCTGTCACGTGTCTCTCACCTGTATTTGCAACAATGCAAAACAATCTCTTCTATGCACCTTTCATGCCAAAGTCATGCTTAATCTCCCAGTATAGCAAGATGCTCCAAACTACAGTGCAATACGCTTAAATATACACAACCCCATGGCAGTCTGAGTGCTAAACAACAATCATAAACAACATAATTACATACTTGTTTACCTCTCTGCACAAAAACACAACCAAACGTAGAGTATTCACACTCAGCCAAGGCCAAACACAGATCCAAACTCATGCTGATCCTCGACACCATAGGTGTAATCTACACCCACATGCTACATGGAGTTTAGCTTCAGCAAGGACTCTAACAAAATGGCATTAAATAGTTGAATGTCCTTATTGCTTCCCAGTGATAGAAAATGCTACTCTGAACTTGGGCAAAAAACAAGGAGGTCATACCCCATCGTCACTTCACTAGAGAGTAGGTCAATGAAGGTCATTTTAGCATTCACTACACTACATGGTGGTAAAAATCCAGACTATCTGACACTATTCTGAATATAAAGACATTTAGCTCGAGACAACCAATGCTGAACAGCTTTAGTTTGGTTAATGGCATCTACCGTAGTCTGCTCCTAATCTGGCAGGGCAGCAGAGGAACACAAAAGCAGAGCAGACCGCACCAGATCACAGCACACCTGTAAGCTTTTAGCCAATTTAAAGAGCCTGGCCAAGCCGAGCGAGCAGCAGCCTTACTTCCTGCCTCTCAGACACACCTGGTCAGAGTCTTCCACAACTGCTTGGTCCTGAAACCACAGGGAGAAGGGAGCCAAAAGGGCCAACTCACTTAGTGCACGAGCATGGGTGTGAACCAACTCAACTGAGACACTTTTATACACAGATAGTTGAGGGCTGATCTGCAGAGTGCAGCTCATACACACAGATACACAGAGAGAATATGAATGAAGATGCAGTAATTATACTATGACATTAACTCTTGAGCTTTAGCCTTTGGAATAATGTTTCAGCATCATCAGTGTTGGATTTAAACAAGAGATGCACTACATTACATTTAGTTTGTAATTCACTGTAATCATGTCTGCTATCCAGTGGGGGATCTTGTAATGGGCCACATAGGTAGCCATTAGGCCCCCGAGATGGCCTTGGGTGCCCCCCGTGGGCTACACCCTGGATAAAACTGCAAATTTATGCCATATTCTCTATGGGCCGTTTCAGAGTCGACGCACGCAACGCGAGCAAGCGACGCAAGCAACGTGAGCAACGCACTTCCTTTCATAGTCAACACACTGAACGCAAGCGACGCGGGCTGACACTTGAAATGCAATACATCGCTCGCGCAATAGGGGGTAGCAGTGTCACAGGTACATTCCGGCTAGCTAGTACAGCTATTTTATTAGAGTGCAGGGCACTTGAACTGTCATATAAATAGGGGTGAGCCTGTACGAGTTCGCAAAGTTTTTCCTCCTCGCCCGCCATATTCCATACCTGCTTCTTCTGTGAATAACAAAAAGTGGTTAATTTCAAGTACGTCGCTTGCATTATCACCCCCGCTGGCAACTCATGGTATTACACGCATGGCGTCGCATATCAAAAAAAATGGGCAACACATTTTGAGACGCAAGCATGCATCAAGGCGGCCAATATGTTTCGATGCGTCTCAGTGCTTTCGCGTCTGCGTGCCTTTGCATCAACTATGAAACGGCCCTCATTGTTTGTTACTTATTATCCATATTTTTTTTACTAAGTTGTTTATTTGTGTTGATTTCACATAAGCTCTTGTTCTTGTGTAATAGTAATAAGTACAATAAATATAAATGCAAGAAATATAATTGTGTGTGTGTGTGTGTGTGTGTGTGTGTGTCGTGTCTCAGGGGAAACCCGCCTAAAGCCAATATGTGCTAAGTCCGGCACTGCTGCTATCAGTTACTATCATTCTGTTTTGGCAGGCCTCTGTTTCAGTTTTCAACGCCATGGCAATCTCTGGCATCATGTTACCTACATAACAATTACTCTCATGCAGAGACACACGCAGAAATCTGTGTCAGGAAAGCACCAGTAGAAACAATCAATTCTTGTTTGAAACATTCCTTTAGCAGCTCTTAAGTACCACAAGTGGAAGTGGAAATTGAATTTCCAGCCATGTACTTTAATTCCTTGATCAAGTAAAAATCCCACCTGTCCTCCATCGAAAAAACAAAACAAAACAAAAGCACCTCAAGGTAGAAAGTAAACACAATATGTACAAATGCGAGTGATGTTGGAAAATAAAATCTTCTAGTATAAAAAATAAGCAAGGTGACAATTTGTGGGTGGAAAATAAACTGTTACCTTGCCAGCACACTGATGAAAGTCACACACACACACACACACTCTCACACATACACAGGAGAACAGTTGCTCATTGTTCTGACAACAGTTTGATGCTGACATCTAGTGGTCACAATCGGTTTTGTTTCTCCTCATCATTTTCCCAGTGTGCAATATTTCTGTAGTCCATCATTCCGGTAAGTCTAAATGTGAAGCCTGATCTGCGGCTGCAATGACATGTCTACATGTAGAAATATAAAATAAGGCAGGTGAAGCTTAAGCAAGTCCTGAGATCAGATAAATGGCCGTACTTGCAGCAGCGATGACGTAAGCACACAAGATGTGGACAGGCAGAGTGATCCAGACAAGACACATACAGAACACAAAGAGACACATGTAGACAGATGTATAGCCGTGGACTGTGAGCAGTACAGTGTCAGGATTTACTAACAATCCTCTGACAAACTCGGAGGAACAAGAGGCAGGGGAGACAGAGAAGAGCTAAGGTTCTCTCACTTAATTGATGACATGGGAAATTTCCACAGTTTCTCCAACTACAAGAAGGAGCAGTGACTATATATACATTAGGCCTGTACAGATATTGACTTATTGAAGTAGAGTTTACTTTTTAATTTCATATTCGTCTTAATTTCTCTCACAAAAACCCACACCCAGAACAAATTGTTAGTAAATTGGATCTATTTGCAGTAGCTTGGAACCACATACAAATGATCAGACATGAGGAGAGGTGATGGAATATGTCACCACATCGAGACAAGACAAAAGAGCAGAGGAGAGGAGAGAAGAGGACGAGAGGAGAGGAGAGGAGAGGAGAGGAGAGGAGAGGAGAGGAGAGGAGCTACCTTTAGACTAAAGTTAATTTGGCAATCCTGAGAGCAGGGGGCAAGAAGGGGAGAGAGGAAGAGAGAAACTCTTGCATTAAATATGACAATGTGACACAGGATGAAGAAGCATTTGTACAGTATAAGTCTCACCAAGCACACAGGAGGGAGCAGGAGGCTAGGGGAAAAAAAGGAGAGAACCACAGAGGGGTTTACGAAGAGAGAAGAAGGAGAAAAGGAGAAAGAACTTGGTACATTCTCGAGGCCACAGAGTCCATAAAAGATACAGTAAAGTCAAGTGGATGAAACATTTTGAGACCTGGAGATCAAAATAAAAAAAATAAAATAAAATAAAAACACTACTTTATGTAAGTTATAACAAGCAGTGCAGCCATTTTTTTTGGGTCGTATATACACCGGATAAAATCTGCAGGATGACTGCACCAGAGCTGCAGAGAATCAACTCATGTGGCCCATACAGTTCATCTCAGTGGGTAAGATAGTGTTATTTCTGATATACATTGTATTCAGGCACACTTCTTTTTAGACTTTTTTTTTTTTTTAAAAGACTTTTATTTATTTGCACATATAAATATAAAACAAAAATGCATATACATATCTCTCTTGGTAGAGAGGAAGATAAGGAAATGTGCAGGTGAGGTAATAAATAAATAAATAAAAAATTAAAAAATAAAATAAAAATAATGATAATAGTAATAATAGGAGTAATAATAATAGTGACAACACTAAATAAATATAGGGAAAAAATTATAAAAAAGTGATAAAACTACTTTCTATAAAAGTTTCATTTACATGTAATTTTACCATGTATAACCATGACATAGGTACTACATAGATATTATTGTAGCTGAAGTCAGGCTGAATATAAAAAAGTCACGTGACAACAAAATTGAGAGCCCAGAGGGTTAATCTATTTGTCAATTGACATAAAATTGTGCATTTGCTGGTTTTAAGCTGCTTCAATGTGAGAATTTGATGATTTTCTTCTGTCATACATGAAATAAACTGACTAGTTTGGATTTCTGAGCTGTTATTTGGATAAAACATAACATCTGAAGATGTCATCTTGGGCTCTGGGAAATGACACATGGCATTTTTCACTATTTCCTGACGTTTTACTGACAAAACCATTACTCAACCAAGCAAAGAAATAATGGGCAGATTGATTGATAATGAAAATGATAATTAGTTGCAGCCCCTAGACTGCACAGTGGAGAATCAGAGAGCCTGCTGTATAACAAATACCGCATCGTTTCCATAGAGAACCCGCTAGAAAAGGCCTGAGAGCACCTGCTTTCTGTTCAGAGTGTGAGTGTACAGTAAGTGCAAGCTTGTGTGTGTGTGGGCAGGGTGAAGGACCAGCTGTTGAACCCTGACACTAAAAGCACCAACACTTGACCATGATGCATCATGCATCCCATTGTGGTGGACATTATGTACTTGTGGACCTGTTACTATGGCTAACTAAATGCAGATAAGCGATATGAGATCAGAGTCCTCTCTGTCCTTCATCAGCACTCCTACTCTTCACCTCTTCTCTCTTTCACCCCTCATTATAACATAAACCTCACATCCTGTATGAAGATCCAAAATGACTGTTGCCATATCATCAATGGCTTCATTTGAATTCTGTGTCATTAAGCTAGAGATAAAATGTCACCGAAAAGCTCCTGCTTGGCAAATTAACTCAGCAGTTAGAGTAATGGACAGATTAAACTTTAATATGGGTTACTAGGAATAACATGAAATATACACATTTTGAGTTACATTATCATTTATACATAAATTAGATCTGTATACGGCTTGAGTAAGTGGTGCCAAACTGGATCTTGAAAGTACAGGACACAAATTAACAGGATGTGATGAAGCAGTTCTACTACTAATATTATAGAAATTCTACGAGTTGGTATTATTTTCAGTCCCAACTATGACCTTTCTAACATCCAGCCTTTCACTTCCTTCTCGTTTTACCTGCATCTCTCTGCTATGTGTGGCAGAAATGTGGTGAAAAATAACTGTACAAAGCCTCCTCCAGAGACCTTGGCTCCCGCTGAGAGGCAGACAATCAGAGGACCACAAAGAGAGCTGCCTCACTCTAAACAGGCTCGACACGCCGATGCAGGAAATTGGACAGAGGGAAAAGCAAGAAAGAGCATTTCATCAGTGGCCTCCGCTGAAAAGGGTCTTGAATAATGTGTGAGTGTGTTTGGGTGGCATTTACGGGGTGAAGACCTTCCGATACTGTTCATACAATTCGCTTTTTACTTCATATTTGGAAAGGGGTTAGATGATGATGATCATTATTGAAGTTTATTCATTTTTGAATTTGATTCAGAAAATAATTTTCTATAACTCATGTTAGATTCTCACCGAGCAGTATCTAAATACGAAGAGAAACAAATTTACAGTCACCCTCTAGTACTAAAACTGTCAGGTAAAACTTCACAAATCACTAAACAACTACAGTCCGAGTTTCCTACAAGTGTTCAGAATAGAGCAACATCAGCTACACTGCTTACAGTGCAGTGAGGGACAGTTTATTATCAAATGACAACCTAAATTTATCATGACAGAGGCCTAGTTCAACTTTTTAAAAAGTCTAAAAAGCATTATACAATTTATTACAGTGTGTTCAAGGAGACAGTTTTTTAACTGTTGTTTTAAGACTGTTGAAAAAAACGAATTCAACTGCTCGTTATACTATGAATTGGAAAAGTGTAAAAAAAAAAAAAAAAAAGCTGCTTTGTGTAAATAAAAAAGTCGAAACAAGTGTCCCAGGCAATTAGCCTTGTTATTAATTAAAGATACAACCCCGTGAAAAACTATTTCAGAACAAGACGCAGTATCAAAACATCTCTGTCCTTGCATCAATAACCAAGTCTTTGTCAAACAAAGTGGCTTTGTAGATTAAAAGACAGCTGTTTGCTGAAAAACAAATACATATTAAAGGCTGTGTGTCGGCTGCTTTGATTCGACTCCGGGCTAGAATCTCTCTGATGGAGGAACAAAATGCTAACAATCGGCGACAAACACACAACTCACACGTCCTCTGCAGGAGTGAATTCTCAGAGTGCAAAGAGACCACGAGTTGTGGAGGTCTTTGAAAGCTGCAGCTGTCACACTGTCATTTTTAATTTGACAGCTGTAGCTAAAGAGAGCATGTGACCATTCAATATTATTTTCCAAATTCTAATACACGTGTCTGTTGTAGAGCTGCTATACCAGTCGTGTACACACACTCATACTCACCCATTTATAGTGAATTAATAAAAAGTTTATCTGGATGGGATTAACAAGGTTAGAGTGATTTAGGAAATATGTTGTCAGCCTTTAACGGCTCAGTCACACAGCTGAGCAGGACTGTGTCAAATACAGAATTACCACATAAACAATGAGTTTACTGATGTAAATGGTAAGTCTACAATATGTTTTACATTTCCCAAGAGAAAAGTCATTGATAGCCAGTCTTGGATTCATTTAAATGTTGTGCAAACATCAAGTCAATAACTAAAGTCAACAAGCAGACAGACAGACAAACAATGACAATGATAATTATTTCAGCTCAATCCTCACCTCAAATTTCTGCCTCAGTTCCTCATTCCCGTCATCCTCCTCTGAGATGGGAACATTGTAGTACTCCCCCTCCTCCTGGCACAATAACTTATACCTGTAAGACAGAGACAGGATGATGGAGGAAGGAAGACAGGGTGAATGAGGATGAAACACTATGAGATAAGAAACTAGCAGATTAATTTGTCTGCCTTCTCTTGAAACATATCAAAGCAGACACAAACACAACTGTCAATTAGATAAGTGAAAAATGAAAATCTCTTGCTTCACTGGGACAAAGCAACATTTGCTGTGGCTCCAGGTGGCCATCAGTCAGTACAGAGAGAGTTATTGCCGACAGCAAAGTCCCAACTAAGTCTACTGGGTGCCTTTGATGTAGAGCTGTCTTCTATTGGTTACAAGAAAGCAAGTGTCAGTGCTAAAATGTTGATACTTCTGTTTCTAATGTTGTCTCTTTAAGCTTGTGCTGTTACTATTTATGATTTACTATGCTTTATTATCTTAATGAGATTTCTGATTTATTGTTATATCATTCAATAAACCATCAGTTATAATCAGCTGAGGCATATTCAAAATAAATGTCAATCACCTGACAGAAATATTGCGATAATTAAAAAAATGCAATAGTATAATAAGAACTTCAAATTCAATTCTCATGGAGGTGAAACTAAGATGTTTGGTGGAATAAAAGCAACTCTTAATATTAAACAATTACTCACAAATCTTTAAATAACCCAAGTTTGTTGAAGCTTCCAAGTGTTCAGTAACATATTTCATAGCAGGAAAATGTGAGTGTGAGTTTTATAGCTGCTGGGCTTCAAACTGAAAACTACCACACTGTGTATTTCCAAACAATACACAAGGGTCAATAATAGCAAGGAAGAAAGTGTTACCAGCCACAGACTGGAGCCTTCATGAGCTCTGATACGCCAAAGGACAGGGCCCCCATGAAGTCATTCCTAGTGGTCCGGTCCCAGTCCCACACCTCCACTGACAGCCTGCGGTCCTTATCCGAAGGCTTCAGCTTGCTGTACAACACAGAGATAGTACACTTGATGTTTATGTAAAGTTTTTACATTCAGACTTCACTCCACAAGTATTTTTATATATGCATTATGATTGTACAACCCTGATTCCAGAAGAGCTTAGACACTGTATAAAACATGAACAAAAACAGGATGTAATGATTTACAAATCTTTTTTGATCTATTTTCAATTGAAAACAGTACAAAGACAAGATATTTAATGTTTAAACTTGTAAATATACGCTCATTTGGATTTTGGTGCCTGCAATATATTCCAAAAAAGTTAGGAAACCACTGTGTGATATCACCTTCATTTATTTAAGAACACTCAGTAAGCATTTGGGAACTGAGGACACTAATTGTTTAAGTTTTGAAAGTGAAATTCTGTCCCATTCTTGCCTGATATCCGACTTTAGTTGTGAAACAGTCTCCACATATCAGATTTTACGTTTATAATGTGCCACACATTCTCAAAGGTCTGGACTGCAGGCCAGTCTAGTACCCGAGCTCTTTGACTACAAATCCACGCTGTTGCAAGCTTATCGCTTGGATAAGCAGGGACGTCCCTAAAAAAAAGGACATCATCTGGATGGCAGCATGTTGCTCCAAAACCTGTATATACCTCTCAGCATTCATGGTGCCTTCACAGTTACCCATGATGCCACAGGTGCTAACACATCCCCTTACCATCACAGATGCTAGCTTTGAACTTTGGACTGATAGCAATCTAAATGGTCCTTTTTCTCTTTAACTCAGAGGACACAACGTCCATGATTTCCAGAAACAATTTGAAATGTGGACTCGTCAGACCACAGCACACTTTTCCACTCTGTGTCAGTGTATCTCAGATGAGCCGAGGCCCAGAGAAGTTGGAGGCGTTTCTGGCTGTTGTTGATATATGGCTTTTACTTTGCATGGTAGAATCTTAATTTGAATTTGTAGATGCAGTGATAAACTGTCTTTACCCACAATAGTTTTCCAAAGTGCAGTGCCCCATGCCCATGCAGTGATATGCCAATCATGAAGGTTTTCAATACAGTGCCCTCCAAGGGATCAAAGGTCATGGCCATTCAGCGTTGGTTTTCAGCCTTGCCCCTTACATGCAGAGATTCCTGTGGATTTTTTGAACGTGTGCAGGCGTAAAATTCAGCATCATTTTATATTTACAAAAAAACACCAAAGTTTATCAGTGTGAAGACTACATATCTTGTCTTTGTACAGTATTCAACTGAATTAAGGTCAAAAAAGATTTACATATCACTGCATTCTGTTTTTTATTAATGTTTTAAACAGCGTCCCAACTTCTTTGGAACTGGGGTTATAAAACACTACACTATTAGTTGTAGTGTATTAGTTGTAAAAGTGGTGACAGCACTAGTTATCATTGTAGTGCTATTAGCATGATTAATTACTTAACGATATAAATGTAATATATTGTTCATTTACGGAAAAAAATATAAATAAAAATAAATTTAATAAATTTTAACAGCAGCAGAACCAGTATCAGTGGGTAGTGTGTAGTGTAGCTTACGTAGTAGCTAGGGTTGGGAACAATTAACCGATATGACCAGATATCCGGTTTGACAAGCGAGAGATACTGCTACGTCGGTAGCAGCCTCCTCAATTGATACGAATCAGCCATGAATCCTTAGATGAATCGATTGTAGAGTCATGGATTCGGGTATCGCGAGACTAGCGGTTGACTGGCTTTAACAGTTTGCATCTCGAAAACAACGCGAGAGCCGGCGGCATGCTCCGTAGCAGGCATTACTGACAACAATAATGGATGTAAACATCAGCGCCAGCTTGACCGGTGGAGATGAGGAACAGAAGCTAATGCTGGTTGGATAAACCAGGGAGCAGCCAAGCTGCAGCAGAAACTAAAGGCGAATCCTGCCGGTTGTGGGTTGAATACGGGGTCACAGACAGACAGAAATACGTATTCCTGTCAAATACGGCGGCCATAGTGCTCCGCGGCGCAAGATAATGGCTTACCGGCGACCGACAAGCCCGGTCCAAGAAGTCTTCGTCGGTGTCATGACTGTCCAGAAATACCAGGCGAACCCTGGCAGCACACAGGTATGTGGCGTGTCAGAGGAGAAACGAGCCGTTCACATTTCCACAAACCTCAGCGCACTTTAGGGACTGTTCTTTACTTGTCAGGGGAGGAGGGTGGCTGGTTGATTCTGATTTTATTTATTTATTTTATTTTGATCCCCCCTTATGTTAATCACTTATTCATGCTGTTTTTGAAGTATAAATAAGTCAATAAGTAATTTATTCCATTGAAATATCATTGATGTATTATAAAAAAGTGATTTGTCTTTTTATAAATGACAAACAGAGTGTAGCAAACACAGAGAAATAGTCTGACATGCTGTCAGTGATAAGCTGCTAGTCATCACAGTCCATGATATCAACTAATAACAGGAGATGTCAGGTTCTGCCCCTACATTGCATGTTATTATTTTATTATGCTTTATGTTTATATTGTACAGCATTATGATACATAGACAATACCATAAAAACAACACAACAAGTAGGTTTAAAACACTTAAATTTTACTTAAAGTTCACTTCACTTAGTTTAAAACTTAAAAAACTTAAAAAAGTTTCAAACTTCTTCTCATTTTTATATTGATCCCATCCAACAAAATGATGTTCATTCAGCAAGACTTTTTTTGGTCCATGTCTAAAAATAAATACATTTGACATGTGATTTTGTTGTTGTTTGACTTTTTATTTTATTTTTGCCAGTGCCATACAGCAACAATGCTTAGGGATGTGGTCTTTTACAAATTTGAAAATACTGTAAGAATGTCACTTTTATAGAATTGGCTTCTTTATTTTATAATGTATGACTAATGTCTACATCAACAAATGTTAACCATAGAATCGTATCGAATCGTATCGTTCCTACACTGTATTGAAACGTATCGAATCGTTCTGTATTAAAAATATATCGTTTTTGAATCGTATCGTAACCCGTGTATCTAGATACATATCGAATCGTCTATCACAGAGAGATTCCCAACCCTAGTAGTAGCCATGTAGCTACTGCTGCCACTACATTCCCAATAATCATTATGTGACAAAAGTCTAGTGTCTGGCAGGACAAGTCAGGTCAACAGGTCATTTACTCACAAATTGAAGGTCTCGTTCCATTTGGGGTTGAGGTTGGAGCGGATGGTTTTGGTCTTCTGCTTGGTCTCATTTTTGGGGTCTGGTATGAGCTTGAGCTTGACATACGGATCAGACAGGCCATTGGGGTCCATGGGGATCAGATTTTTGCCTTCACCCACTGTCAGGGAGATAAAGAATAATGAGAAATCAATAATTTGTCAATATAGACACAGATGAGTTAGAATTTTAGTGTACGTAGACTATAAGTGACTCAGATCACTGACTCGCTTTAAATGAGGCGAAGGCCAGTGGTCCTAGTTTTTCCCATATTCGGCACACCTCAAAAACAAACTGAGCTGCTAGTTACTGTGCTTATACCTGATGGATAAGGGATAAGCAGATAAGAGATGTAACCAGATGCCAGTCCAGGCAGTGCTTTAAAAACAAATAAAAGAATCTTAAAATCAATTTCGTACTTCACTTGTAACCACTGAAGAGAGGCCAGTACAGGGGAGATATGATCTCTCTTCCTGGTACCAGTAAGGAGTCTTGATGCCGTATTTTGAGCTGCAGGCGAGATGGGGCCAACTGCAGAAGCTGAAAGCCTAAACTACAGAATCCAAATCTTTAACAGGCAGGAATGATTTTATTTTGCAAGTGATCCAAGATGGTAGAAGCTGGTGCTGCCAGCTGAGTCGATTTATTAAATTTTAAACCAGAATCAAAGACAACAACAACTTCTTTTCCATGGACTTCACATTCAGAGATGGAGGCCCAAAAGCATTTATTACGGTTGCAGAGTTGTCTGCTGGGCTGAATATTAGAATTCAATTTATTCTGATAAAGCTGAGGGAAGCTTTTTGCCATCCAGGTTGTTACATCCATAATGCAGTTTAAAAGGTAGTTAACAATGCGTGGATCACAGCACGAGATACAGCGGGGTGTCATCGGCATGACAATGGTAGGAGATATGAAATTTTCTAAAAACAGACCACATGGTGAGTAAAATAAAATAGGTGAACATCAATAGAATAAATTGCAGGTGTCCAAGATCAAACGACAAGTCACAGCCTATAAGGACTGCCTATAGCCTGGAGCCATACAGGGGGCAAATGCAGGAAGCCTTATGAGAACAGTGATTCAAAATTGCAAGCTGTGTCATGCTTAAGTACGCGAAGGCTCTCTTCTCCTCCTCCTGTATTTAGCCGCTCAGTAAACAAGGGCACACCAGGGACATTAGCACTCCATTAGCCCGGAGCATTGGAGCACTGCCAGACCTGAGCTACAGTGCAGCACACACACACACACACACACACACACACACACACACACACACACAAACACACCCCTATCCACACTCAGACGTACACACACACACACACACACATACTGAGTTTATCTACACACAACGCAACCCCGAAGGGACAGTGTGACTGCCTGCCTTGCTTGGTTAAACCTCGGCCCCTGGAGACCCCAGAAGCCTCTCCATGTGGCCCTGTCAGTCACAGTACAACGCAAGCCTGAGTAGCGACGATACTAAATGATCTCTGACCTGGATAGGAAGGCACTAAGCCAGACAGTCAGGACTGCACACGTACAGCCAGTGTCTTAGCTGGACTACTCTGAATAGGATACAGTCTTGATAGGATTAAGAGGGATAAATGACCAAAATCAATGAGGGATTGTCACCTGAGTTAACACAGCAGCTGCTGCAGAGGCCAATCACAACACTGAGACACAAAACCAGTAAATACAGTCTGATTCTCTTTCTCCCAGGATTATGATGCGCTTTTATTATCTGAGCCACAGGTAAGACCTTTTATGACAAAGAGGCTTCATTGTATTCTCTGTGCGGCCGCACCAATAGAATCAAATGGCTACCTAATAAGCCGAGAGCAAATACCTTCCCGTTGTTTGCTTTTATTCTCAGCACCTGTGGTGGGGGATTCGGGTGTTAAGCGATGTTAGCGAGGTGTGAAGTTTGATGAGCAATGGAGTGAGCTGCTCTACACACACACACACACACACACACACACACACACACACATATATACACACACATGATAAGAGAAAGCAGGGAGACAGACAACAGCTTACAGAAGCAACCCGAGGTGTGGGAAGGTATTGAGTGAGCCTGAGCTGGCAAAACTCTTCTAAGAAATCCGATAGAAAAGTGTAAAGCCCGTCGACAGGCAGTAAAGAACGACTCGCTGTATACTGTATTTACACTTTACTGCACTCCTATAGGGAGGCATTCTACTGTACAACAGAAAGGGAGGACTGGAACACAAAGGGACAGGGTGTTTTAGTGATTTCCTAGATGTTTAGATAGAAATTGAACTTTTGATGCCTCTCCCACTGCCCCATCTCATTCCATTTTGCCAAATGAGGTGAGATGGAACAGGAATTAATTTAATATGAGAGCTCAATAAGGGGATTCACATTTTGTCTGTTTGTCTGCAAATGGTCCCTAATGCTGTAGTTTGTGCATTCACTGCAGCAGTGGCTTTGAAAGTAACAACCGCGGGATGGATGTTGATGTATCCCTGAAAAACCAGCTGGCTGCTTATATCCTCAGCAGTTTCATGTCAGGAGTATTTTTCTGTCTACCAAACTATACCTGCCAACCGTACCACAGCACAGAAGGAAGAGTGCATCTACTCATGTACGAGAGGCTCGTGCTTGTGACATTGTGACATGTACACATTAATGGCATCCTCCTCGGCTGAGCTGCAAGGTTAGCTAGCTCAGTGGTGCTATGTGAGCTAGTAGGAGGTTCAGAAGTACAGTAGAAAGAAAATAGTTCCTACATGTTACACCTCACAACATGTTCTGTAGGTTATCTTGAGTGACTGGATCATGATTTCTGGAAAGAGACATTGCTGTTGAGTTTTTCAAACATAATTTTTGGCACTGTGAACTTTACAAGTCTAGTGCCATCTAGTTGGCAGCGGCTGTGGCTCAAAAGGTAGAGCGGGTCGTCCACTAAATGTTAAATCAGCTTTTCAATCCCGGGCTCCTCCAGTCTGCATGTCGAAGTATCCTTGAGTAAGATATTACTCCTGATGGCTGTTCCAGCAATATGTGAGTGTGTTAAAAGCTGAGTAACAAGTGGCACCTTGTATTATTGCCTTGGCCACAAGTGTATGAGTGTGTGTGTGTGAATGGGTGAATGTGACTCCTAGTGTAAAAACCACTTTAAGTGGTCAGATGACAAGAAAGGTGCTATACAAGTGCAGGTCCATTTCCCATTTAGTTGCATTATATTCGCAAGAAGGCGGACACCTCTATGACCAATATCTCCAACACTCGTCAACTCACAATGAAACAGTCAAGGCTGATAAACAGCACTGCAGGTAAGAGGAAAAATATATATTTTTTATTTTAGGGTGAACTGTCCTTTATATGTCATCTTTCTGCCTTTTGATGATGCTATAATCTGCAACTGCACTCCAGTGGATAGTTTGTTTTTACCCTGACAGTGTTCATGCTGGGTGATATTATGGCATATATATATATACACAGACAATGTCCACAGAATTTGCTGTATATATGTTATATCTAAGTGCAGTTCCATGTAACATGCACTAGCACTGCATGCAACTTCTGCACCACATTCATCCTACTTCAACTTTTGCATTGAAAAGGTCATGTTTTGAATATTTCATACTCTGGCTGTATGTATGCAAAGTCACAACACTGAAATGACATTTATGAAACAGCCTACAAACTTGTTCAGTGGCTCGTGTTTGTGTGAGACTCTGTTATTATCGTTGTTATTACAGCTGATCACCCTGTCCAGAAAGAGTGGACCCTGTTTATGTTCAGCTATTATACGGGTGATGTCAGACAACACAAACTATTAAAAAATATACAGTGTAAATTTGATGATATGCAGGATATTTCTAGGATCATTTCTATATAAAATATAAATCATTATTTGCATTTATTTATTCATATGGATCACCATTAGTCAGTAGTAGTAGTAGTAAATATTCCATCATAATGTAAGACGCATATATAATTAAAAATCCAAGGGAAAAGAAACAAACAACAAGAAAACTACAAAAACAACAATCAACAAAAGAAAAACAAAACAATAAATTAACAGCAATTCAACTAATGACAATAATTACAAAAAGTATCTTCACTAGGCTATATCTACATTGCCATTAAACAAATTGATACAGTGCTGCTAGAAATAGCATATACAGTGACTGAGAAAATAAAAACACCAGGAGAGTTCCTCATAAATGATCATGTAGTCAAATATCATGTAACAAAACCTGTTCTGTTTGAGAAGGGCTCATATTCTTGACGCATGCCTGGTATCAATGCTATGGTCATTACTCCTATCAGACAATTGATGGTAAAGGATATTCAGAATTTTAGACAATAATATCTCCTCATAAAACAGAACAGAGAAGTAACCATCCTGTCCTTCAAGGTTGTTACAGTTCAGGGCAAGTGGTGCAGCTCTATTCTGGACTAACTGTAGCTTTTCTGCGTCTTTATCTGACGCACTTTATTTGACACCACTGAACAGTAATGCAAAATAGTAAAAAACTAAATTTTTAACAATGTGAGAGATGAACAAAATAAAAGTGTATTTTTTTTAAAGTGCTAAAACTACAACTTTGAAGGGGATATAAAACAAAAGAAATTTTTAAAAAAGTCTGTCTTATTTGAGCTAAAAACTATGTGTCACTAGGCTGTACCCTGATGCTATGGGTTGCAAAATGCATGTGTAGGCTGAATCTTAAGTTTCCTCTGATCTCAATATTTCGTGTTTATTGACTACAGACATGAGTCCATTGTATGTCTACCTCAGATTGTACATCCAGCAATGACCAGTAGGGGACATTCAAGACTGTCTAATCTAGCTCGGCTGACACAGAGCTTCTCCCTCCATATAACTGCACGGCACATAAACCAAACAAGATGAGTGTGTCAACCAAACTCCTTTCAGATGTACTGCGGAGACATGACCTCGCAATCCAAGTTATCTGTGGTGCTGGCAGTTTTGGGTAAAGGTCAAATTATCTTAGTTAAATATAAAAACTGAATGTGTACTGTAGTCAGTTAGTATATGTCTTATAGTTCCTAATGATTCCATTTATCTGTGTGCAAGTGAGTCTAGATGCATATGCAAATGGACACGCACACACAAACACTAGA